ACAAAGGTGTCTCAAACGGAGGACTAGATAACAACGACGGCCGTGGCGAGTAGGCTGAACGACTGCCCGAGTCGATTGGCTGGAAACTGCGTTTAGCGTCTAATGTTTTTTGCTGCTGGGCGACATCATTACCATCAGTGGTTAATGAGTTTTCACGAGACACATTCAGGCGATCATTTTGTGACTCGAACCCCGAAGACTGTGATGAAGCACGTGATAGATTTTCTCCAATAACGGCCATTGCCACACGTGACTCCGGGAAGTTCTTGTTAGCTGAATTTAAAGAACCGGCAGGAAATATTGATGAAGCCGATGTGTTACTGGCAATACATGTAGTGCTGAATCGCGACGGAGTAAGCAAATTCGTCGATGCTGGACGGGTTTGTTGGTAAACCGCATTACTGGAGAGTGAAAACGGTGAATGTAATGCCGTTGTATTCGCCGAAAAAATCCGTTTATTTATTGAGTTAACAGGGCGATATTGGGCAAATATGTGATTCCTTTGTTTTTGAATTTCATGTGCATTAATTTCTCCACTAAAAGAAGCATGCTGGAGTGAAGTGTTTGCAATGTGATTGCCGCTTGTACCAAACAAAGTAGAGCGTGGCCGTTCACGATTGTTTATCTCCCAGTTTGAGCCAAAAAGTGGAGCGCGAGAAGTCAGTGTGGCAGATGAGAAGGCTGTGTTAAAGTCACCAATGGTTGAAGCAGCATACTGTGACCGGTTTGAGCAAGGATTAGATTGCGCATCGAAGTAGCACGATTTGTATGTGGAATTCGGAGAGTACCGCGCGGCAGGCGCATTGTGCAGCGAAAGTGTTGATGATGTCACTGGTGACTTAAATAAACGCCCCTGTTGCAGTGGTGATGCTTGTCCACCGAGTGAAGTGGAACGAATTGTGCTAGTACTGCTACTATTAAGCTGCTGACTCAACATACTAATCGTATCCTCATCACTTAGGTAGTCTTCAGAATACATTTTATGAAAACTACTCGTACTAGCATCATGCATTCTGGGAGAAAATTCTACATCATTTGTCACTGAAAGAATAAGTGTTAATGCTGACGAAATTAGCTGTAGAAAAATAAAACAACAAATAAGTTTCTTAAGCAGTTATAGTGTCGAATTGTATATAACATACCATTAAAGCAGTTTGTGGAAAGTATAATTGTTCTTCTAACAAACCTCCTGCAAATGCACTCCACAAGGCCAACAAAAATGTGAAGCGCGTCAACTTGAAGCCATCAATTATTTTATAGCTGAAAGACATGCCCAATAGTGCAAAAGGATAGAGGAGCACGTAGAGTGAAGAAAAGTTAATGCGTGTAATTTGAGGCATTTTCAGTCCCAATGAGTACAGGAGCATCATAAAAATTGTACGTGTAAAAAGCTTGATTTTCTCTATCAAGGGGTTCGCGCCGATTCTAGTCAAATATGCGACCAAAACACGCGCCAGTGCTAACACATGTGATATTGTTGTGAATAGCTGCTCGCCAAGACGATCTCCAAACACAGTCGTCAGATGCTCACGGGTCAAAGCGGGCAGCATTAATAATAAACAAAACAGATTTACCATTGTAAGTAATGATATGTGAAGTGAAATACGGCGTTTCCAATGTTGCCGTTGAAAATGGCGGATTTGAGTAAAGTGGGGCTGCTTTAACGTTTCCGCACCTTTTATAATGAAATCTAGAAATTTTGATCCAAGTACCATTTTTTTCTTTTCATGAAGTACTTTACGCAAATGACGGTCGCATGTTCCACACAAACGATATTGCTCTTCAAGTTTGGCTCTGTGAAAAATGTAGATATCAGTAATTTATTCATTTATTCCATACACATGTATGTATGTAAGTACGTACATATTATTGAAACTNTCTGTGAAAAATGTAGATATCAGTAATTTATTCATTTATTCCATACACATAGGTACATATTATTGAAACGTTACAAACTTACTTGTAGACCTTAAGCTCTTCATCGAAACGTGTTTCAGTTTTTGGTTCAAATTGTGCCAACTTTTCCACCTTTAAGCGCTGTGCCTCATTGCATTCATAACAAAAACCGTTCTTGGAGGCGCTCAACGCCGATGCTGAAATATCATGCTCAGATGATCTATTCCTCCCCAATGTGGTACTACTGCAATCTAGTTGTTGAAATATTTCGCGATTATAGTCCCCATCTTTTGTGAAGCCATTATATTGTTCGCAATTCGGACACGTCCAACTGTTCGATTCCAAGTAGGGCACACGCGTATTTTGATTGCAAAACCAACAGTTCACTGTAGCATCGAATTTGGACCTATAAATAGAACTCATAGCGATTATTAGGCGCGATATATTTAAATCGCATGTATGAGATCACAGCTTAATAAAGTATATACACACATACATAATATTAATGTAATCAATTTAAAATAAGTTTTAATAAAATGCCTCCAAAAAGTATTGAATTAAAAATGCCAAACCGGTTAAATGAGGTTAGGTAGTCGTGTGCGGGACTAAAAAAAAAAACTTTACCGAATTTTCACGTAGAGTTTTTGCAGCAGTAAAAGTCCGATAAATGTGAAGGCCAGGATAGGTACCGCGCTCACCGCCAGCGATAGCAGCAGTTGATTGTACATTTTGTAATGTAATTAAATTGTATCTAATCTTTCCCAATTTATTAAGGATTTTAAGCACAATCCGCGCAAAAAAAAAAAAACGCATTCACAGCTAGAGACACGAATTTCGATACGAAACGATAACATATCGATACTTTTGCCATTCGATGCCGATATTTTCTACTCGTTAGTTTTAAAACGATATTTTTTGCAATCGAGTACCAGAATCTTAGTCCCCTTTCAGGCACGTCAAGTCTTGATTTCAAGTCTGCTCGTTCGTTGGCGAAGGAGGTGGGAAGAGAGGGGAAGAGTACAGATACCTCCGCACCGTCAATTCGTTTCAAGTTTTCTTGTTCTCTTTTGATCTTTTCGTTGCTTCCCATTTAAAGATCCAAGGACTTGAATTCAATAAAACTTGACGCTTGTGGAAGCAAAGAGAAAACACAAAAGAGAATGCGATAAAAATTGCTTTCAAGACTTGACGTGTCTGAAAGGGGACTTACGGCGCGATTACATTACATTGTCCCTTCTTATAGATTTACCTTCTTTGCTTATAGATTTACCTTCTTTGGATTTACGTTCTTTGGGTAGGCCATCGGTGTTCGCCTGTGGAGTTCTGCGGTTAGACTGCTTTTACACAGTTCAAGTATTGAATTCAATTCTGTTCGCATGTGGTAGAGAGGGGGTGAGAAGCAAAGGGACGAGTACACATGCATCTGTACGGGCAAGTCGTTTCAATTTTCTTGTTTTGCTTTTGGAATTTTCGTTGCTTCCCATTTAAAGAACCAAAAACTTGAATTCTACAGAATTGAAACTGCTGTTACCTTTCGGAAATATATTTCAACTTGCAGCACTAGCAATCTGCAATTCGCCTTTCAGAAATACAAAAAAATACCTCTTTCGAAGACATATGCAAGGTGTGACCGCTCATGCAACTGCTTTCTGAAATTTCGCAATTTGACAGCCTTTTCGGAAAATATTGCATTGCCATGTCTGACAGACCCTTTACGTTCTTAGGTTAATTTGGTGCAGGGTGGCACCACTAATCCCAATGGAACAGCTGATAACCATTTTGACGTTTCTCTTGTTTTGCTTGGTCTTTTTTGAGCGCTATTTGCACGTGTTTTGTTCGCTATAAGGGTGGGTAACTCAGCAAATTTATAGGAGTTGACTCAATGACTCCAACTCACTTTAAGGAGTCAGCTCATTCAACTAACTCATTTGACTCTTTGTATGTTACACTCATTCGTATCGTAGACTCGTTTTGAGGCATAGATGCGGTATAGCGGCCGTTGAGATAAAACAAAACTTTAAAGTGGGCGTGGTCAGCTCCTTTCTACTGATTTGAAAGGTGTAATTTTTTTTGTGCGCAAATTAATAGGGCGGTGCTAGGGGGAGGGTAAAGGTGGAATTTTCAATATTTTCAAAAGCTTATATTTCGAAACCTATTGTACCGAATTTCAAAATGTGGATATGGTTGGAAAGGCAATTGATTTGATATGCACATCTTTATATATCTTACATACATACATATTTCGAGAAAAACTAAAAAAAAAAAACGAAATTATAAGAATTTGTAAGATTTGACATAACACCCGCAATACAAAATACATGTGGTTGTTGTTGTTGTATTCTTGCCACCACCTTGTATAAATTCGCCTCGTGCAAAAACAAAATGCAAGACTTTGCCATGCTAAACACTGTGGCGAAGCGAGAGAGTTATATGGACAAATATGAGCCACTATGATTCAATTGATTCATGTGAGCCCTACGGCATCAACTGAGTTACTGAGTTACATTTTTTTTGGACAGGGAGTCTGAGTTACCGTTTCACTTATAGGAATCAACTCAATAACTCAACTCTGAGTTGAGTTACCCACCTCTAGTTCGCTAGTATTTATAAAATTCGGTGATTAAATTATTTTTACACATTTTTTAATAAGTGAATCAACACAATGCAGCACGACGATGTATGTAAAATTCATAAACGTAGAAATTTGGTTTTGCTTAGAACTGAATTCTTATTTTTGCTTACAGGTGGTGTGGAGCATTATAAACAAATCATTTTGCTCACATAAAGTCAAGTAAGATAAAGATATGTTTTCATAAGGATTTTGATTAATAAAAGCTGTTTTCTGTTTCACAACTAGAACCGATACGCGTACGTTTTGTCGACATGAATACAATTTAACCGGTCTTTGTACACGCCGCACATGTCCACTGGCTAACTCACAATATGCCACTGTCCGCGAAGAAAAGGGAATAATTTATCTTTACATGAAGACGGCGGAACGAGCACACATGCCTAACAAACTGTGGGAACGTGTAAAATTGTCACGCAACTTCGAAAAGGCCATCGAACAGATTAATGAAAACTTGGTGTTTTGGCCAAAGTATATGATTGCTAAAAATAAGCAACGTTTTTTGAAAATCACACAGTACCTCATACGTATGCGTAAACTGAAATTGAGGCGGCAAAAATTAATCGTTCCACTTTCGCGAAAGATTGAGAGGCGAGAAGCTCGCCGAGAGCAAAAGGCATTGATTGCCGCTAAAATCGACAACCATATCGAAAAAGAGTTATTGGAACGATTAAAAAGTGGCACTTACCAAGATATTTATAATTTCCCACAAACGGCGTTCAACAAAGCGTTGGAAGCGGAAGAGGTGGAGGATGAAGAAGTAAGTGAGGATGAAGAGCAAGAAGTTGAAAAAGAAATGGAAGTGGACGATGAGGTGCGGCGCGAGTTGCTTGACGAAGAATTTGTCGAAGCCGATTCAGATGAGGAAGAAGACGACGCGGACGAAGATGATGCCGGCAGTGATTCGGGCGAGCGGGAAGAAATCGAAAAGGACAGTGATTTTGCTGCTTCCGATAGTGAGGGTGATGGAGAAGATATTGAGGTACGTAAAATTTTTGAAATAAGCATAATTTTAATGGGAAGTGTAGGCAAGCGCGGGTGGTTAGATCTAGTAGACGTTCCCACGACAGTCTGGTCTACGTAACGGGAACGACCCAGATTTATATCTGGCCAAAGACAGTTATCCCAGCAATACTCCCAAAAAACTGTTTTGGGGAGCAACAACAACAAGTACATACGATACAAAACATTATTTTTTTTTTTAATCCAAGAATTTGTTGAAATCTAATTATAGTAATAACGTTACTATAATTTATGATTCCAACTGTTCATTTTTGCGCTGTTAAATAAAAATGAAACTTGCAGTTTAATGCCCGCGTTCGTTTTGTATCCATGCTTTTGAAAATATAAATTTTGCTGTTATTTGTTCAGCAATGTTCATTCGTAGTTCTATTTTTTTTATCTGAAGTGGTTGATTGTCTAGAACGTATTGCAAAAAGATAAAACACTTGCCGTAATTCGACACCGGTGAATGAATGTTACTATTACAATCAGCAAAGTGAAATGCTTCAGTGTGACGACAGCTTCCATTCTGATTAGCTCGATGCTAAAACGCGGGACTCGCGAGCGAATATCGCGTAATCGATCTTTTAATACAACGCGAGACTACTTAGCGTAGCGCACTATCGGTTCCATTTAAATTTATGTGGCTTCGGGCATCACGATCAACCGCAAAAGTACGAAATATTTATCATATTAATATTTCATTAATTTTTCAAAAATCGCACTTTTGCAGCTCTGAATAACAAATATTTACATATGTACATATGTATGTATCTGTATGCAATAATAATAATAATAATATCTGCATGGAGTGATTATGGCATAGCGTGATAAGTTCTTAATTACTGTAACCTGCTATTGTTTATTCTCCAGCTACTTTTTAAACATAGCTATAATTATTTGAGAATAGCCTCGATGCCGATCAAAGTTGAAAGTTCGATTTCACTTAGCTAGAAAATTTAAAAACGTGAATTGTGCAAATTTTACATACAAAAATTTTAAATTATACCGTGCACTACTCCTACCCATATACATAGATGACCATAATGAAGTAATAAATTTTATATCTCCTGAAACTAATCGGTTCNAAAAAAAAAAAAAACAATTAGTGGTGTTGACCTCGACATTGTGATCTCGCTCGATATGCATACGTACCTCAATTCATTTGTGTGCACTTGAATATCGGTCAAAGTTGGACCGCTTTTGGCGCAGTACAATTCGAATGTGTAAATCAGCTTAGCGTGTGCATGCATACCTATAAACACCTTACTTATACCAATCGAAATATGCACCCATATTTTATATTCTTACATTTTATTCATTCATAAAACCGCGGTAACTTTAGCTTGAATGAGTTGATATTCCTTTTCAAATCTTAAGGCAATGTCACACGTTTGGTATGTATATTTGTGCAGATTTGTACGTATTTAAAATTGGTCTATTGGTACGAAATAAAAAAATCGGGACCCACGATTGGTACAATACAGCAGACTTCTATTGAAAAATTGAAAAAAAACGAACTGTTTATCGTGATTGGGATAAAGAAAAATATTTGTGTATTCAGACGATTGGGATACGATTTGCACAAAATTTTGGGCAAATACCCAATCGTGTGTCACTGCCTTTTAAGTTTGCATGTGTTATTTAAGCTTAATGTCGATAATGCAGCCACGATCCCTAAATACCAAGAATGATAGAATAAATATTCTATCATTCTTGCCTAAATACTACATACTTGGATAGTTACATTCATATCGTTACCTTTGTGAATTAAGGTGACGATATGTATCTGCTGAACATTGCACTACAACGGGGCAATCTTTTGTTCCCTCTTATTACTTACATAATTACTACACTTCGTGCAGTCTTAATTTCCTTGACATGGGGTGTATGTAGCCGGAACGATCTAGATTTACATATATCTGACCAAGGGCTGTCACTGCAGCGACACTCCCCAAAACTGTTTGAGGAATCTGTATGCTGTTACAATAACAACAACAACACTATTCGTTCTCACGACAGTCGAGTCTACGTAGCCGGATCGACCTAGATTAATATCTGGACTAGGACTGTCACTCCAGCATCATTCCCCAAAAACCATTAGATCAATTAGGGCCGGTTGTTCAATGTCTGGTTATCCAGACATCTATATAGACGATTTCTCGACGTCATGCATACAACATGTGATCGATAAAGCATTTTTTGTATTTAACCGGACCTTCTACCTCCGATTTGTGTTAATCAGACATTGAACAACCGGCCCTTACTATGTATGGGTAATTTCTGAGGGCCAGGGAATCGAAAACGATGTTTAACCTGCGCTACCGTTAACTAGACATTGAGAAACTGGCACTTAATCTGCAACTACTTGTAAAGTTTCCGGTTAGAACACTTATTTGTATGCCTCTATTCATTCTTTCCTAGTTTCTTCTCAGAATGTGTGCATGTTTGCGTTTCTTTCAATACTTTGCCTCGGAACGCGGAGGAGGAAGACCTGGAAAATTCGCCGCCAAAGCATTTTAAGAGTTCAAAGTGTTCGATTAAATGTAAACATACTTATAGGTATATAGCTATAGCTACATTGGGTTGTTTGCACATGCATAAGTGCCTATTATAAATGTACTTACAGTAGTTTCCAATTCCTCACAGCAAATATCTCCGATCTTACATTTACATATCGTCGTTTAAAGTACAAAACCGCGTATCGTGGTACTGAAAAACCTCGTAACTGACATTTGTGCCAAAAGTGAGATTTGCTCGCGGGAAGCTCCTGGCATCAAGCCTTTCCATTTATAGCCACAATAAAAGAGATAACCATATTGACGTATATTAGACAGGCTTTTCTCTCCTGTAAAATTTTGGTAACCTCACATACGGGGTTTTGCATACTCTTGATACGCGGTTTTGCAATTTAAACGACGATATGCATATTGTATGTATAACATTACGCGTTCATAAGCGGTCCTTTTCAAATTAACAAGCTTTTAGTTGTCGCTAATTGAACAAAGGCCAGCTTCTGCGGTTGGGTTTACATAGCTGTATACATTTGTTACAGACAAATCGTATGATTCATTTATTGACGATTATTTAAGTGGTAATTTCATTCTTCCTTAAATCAGTTATTAAATATTCATGCTTTTAGGTACACCTTGATGCGTTCGTATCAGAGTTATAATTTCTACCGGAGCCCCAATTTTTCAAGAAGGTATATAAATACATACATATCTATGTAAGTTACTTTTATATCATTTATTTTTTTTAAAGTATACACATCCAATGGCTTCCGTTTACATAAGTAACTGAATTGTCAGTTTACAATATTTATGTACACAGATTTGCATTTCCTTCAAACGTAACTTTCAAGAAAAACTTAATGCTATCTTATTGCTAATTTTAATTAAGATGTTATTGCCAGAAATCGAAGTTTCAGAATATATGAAAGTTCAGTACGTTTTGTTCCTAAAACTGCTTTCCGATTGATTGGCGCCTTGCATTTTGCACTGCTGCAGAATATTTGTATGAAAACTATTTTTCGTGAACATATGATTACATACATATGTAAATATTTAGTTTAATGCTGTAGCAAAAATACAAAATAGTGCTCTTGTCAATTATGTTTTCTGTAAGTTCGACATACATATGTATGAAATTAAATAAGTGTTTAATTCTGTTGTGTTCTTTCAATTAATAAAATTTAAATCCTAAATTTTGACATGAAAAACTTGAATTTACTGCTATAGTAGAAGATGTGAACGCAATCTTTAGAGTTTACGGAAAGTTAAATATGTAGTTCATTCATTTTACAATAATTTACAAATATTTGTAGTTTCTTGTTATAGAACCGATATTACCCTCATTAGTTATCCGCGTTAACGTTCGCTATCAGCTCCTTAGCTTTTAGTTTAGCACATCAGTCTGAATTGCCAGCTGCATGTCGTAGCAGCACATAAATCTTCTCCTTGATCCACTCCTTGTTATATGGTGCATACGTATTTGTCGATTTTTGATAGACGAGGCAACTGATATCAGCCAACTGGTCAACGAAATCAAAGAGTTGACTTATGTCGTATGTAATTGTAGGCGTGTTGGGATTGCGCCTCTTCAGGTGTTCTTCATAGATTTTGCAAACACCTTCCATGCATTCGTTGACAGTTTCATAGTCGCTGTAAGTGCGAGTTTCAGGACGGGAAGCCGGCTGCACGAGCAGAATTGTGTGTGACATGTTGATAGTGCGGCAGTGTTTTTAGTTTAACAGGAAGAATGGTCTAGAAACGATGCGATTTTATCCAACTATTCGCAATAAAATTTGACCGGCGCTGTGACCCTGGCACGAATTGCTTTAGCTTCCAAGTTAGTTACTTTGTTTTATACACTACAAATACAAGCGCTACTTATTCAATATGCACATACATTAGTTTATTCAGTAGAATATGTACTCACGTGTTTTTATTTACCGATTATTATTTTTTCTTAATATTTGAAGCACTTTTTATGATGTTTGCAAGCTAGAATTAATTTCTGATGCTGTCAAAGTTAGTCGGCTTCCGCGTGGATATGGTTTGCATGCTCTAGCACATGCATTTGTTTGACAATTCGTAGGTAGTGTACTAGTCGTTTCACTCTAGCTTTGGGCTCGTTGGAAAATCAAAAGCATGTGGCGAGTACATAGAAATAACGATTAAACGGTAGAGAAGTAGAAACAACGGGTAGCCACTACAAGAATAAGTATGCGGTTTTGCATAGGAAGGCATTTACAAAATATTTATAACATTATTATATTTATATTTATAACATATATATTATATTATATATTATATTTATAACATTATTTATAGCATTAAAACCGAATGCCTAAGAAATTATTAAATTAAAATAATAATAATAACAGTAATAATAATTAAAGATTGGCGCTTGCACAATATGTTAGTGTTTGGCCGAGCTTCTCCTCCGTACGCATTGAGGTTATCACATCAAAGCTTCTCATTATTATAATTATCAAGCAATAGCAATAAACATGATAGCTATGTATATATTGACAATAAAAAAATACCTCTATGTATTTAAACTAACTTAAATTCACCACATTGTAACTGCTTCAATCAAATTGTAAATAAATCTAAAAAATTTAATTCCTCTAAAAGATCAATATTTGTTATATATGTAAATGCAGCAAAAGCACGCTTATGACACCACCTAGAAAAATCACTTCATAAATTCTACAAGTTAAACAAAAATTATCTGTACAGTATTTAATTGAAAATTTATAAAATCCCTTACACACATACATATGGACATACATACATATATGTGTATATCTGAATTTTCTACATGAAGTGTATTTATCGAGGTAGATACTTACCTACATATGTATTTTTCTCGCTCGCACCTTCGATATAAGCCGCACAATATGAAGCGATAAAGAAACCTACGATAAACCCAGTGCAAGATCATTTCTCGCATTTCGTTTTGATGAGGTGAATTATCATTATCCGATTGGACATATCCACTATCAGCTGACTTTTGTTTGTCAAACTGACGCGACATGGACCAATCTAATCCGAAGCGAAAAGTATAGAACTGGTGAACGGGGAATGAGGCACGCTAAAACAAAGTTAATTGCACTGTGATGATGATAAAAAAATATTAAGTACCAATAGCCGCAAATGGTGACGATTTTGTTAGACGAGCTTCAATTTTGTAAGATTGTGGGTAATTTCGTTCGTATTTCGGTAAAATTCTCATTCCGGTGACATAATTTCCCAGTGTTCAAATAAGATACATATGCATGGGGCTAATTGCATTGTTGAAGCTTAATTCGTGAATAGTATATTGCGAACCCGTGTATGTACATACGCGCTGATATGCGATCAGTTGGTCTGTCGCCAGTAGACTTTTAGTGCGTAAAGTTTGTGTTGTTTTTGTGTGGTTTCCCTTAGCTTGGGAGAGATTGCGAAAAATCCAATTGGGCAATGAATGAAAAGTTCCAATAAGCGCCCAACGCATTAACATGCGTTAAATTACTACGAACGCGTGTGCGCAAGCTGTGTATACACTCGCGGGTGGTGTGGTGCACTCGCGTCTGCGTCTACTGCAGCATACGTTGCGGATTTGTTTACATGCATTTGTTTTTGTATATATGTGCAAAATTGTAGCCAATCAGTAACGCGCCAAATTGTGTGCATACTTGTTTACGTGCCTCCTGCCAGCTGAGTGCGCGCTTTTTTTTTTCAGTGATACAGAAGTTCATCGATATTTGTTTATATTTTGATGACGTTGCGCAGTCACAAGCGGCAGCTTCAGCGTCGGCGCCGACAACACTGTATGATTCTAATTTGAATTGCAAAAATTCAATCAGTATTGTTTTTGTTTGTTTTGATTTGGTGCGCGCGAATTAGTGAACAATTATTTTTTGTTTGTTTGATGATATGAAATTTCAATACCCGATGTTTTCGGCGACCAACACAAAAATTAAGGTACATAGCTACATATTTCTACATAATAGCCACAACTTTCCACTAATTAAAAAAAAAAAATAAATTAATTTTTAAAACATTTTATTAATACATACTTATCTATGTATACTCTCTGCATAATTATTCATTCTTATAGTTACCCAGTGATGCCACTGCGCCCACTTTGCGTTGCCTTTTAAATGGTCCTTTTCGTGAGCTGCACTTTGCTGCCACAGACCATCGTATCACACCCGTACACGACATCGTCTTCCTCGATGAAGTCGATCCAGCAATAACGCCGCTGAATTATCGCCCGATAGCAACGTCTCCAGTAGCAACGTCACCAGATGGAACAAATGGATTCAATGGCACCAACGGATTGGATACCAGCAGCAACGGGTAAATAATATTTTTCACTTATAACAATTGTTAATACTTGTAAATATAAAATTATCAAAGTAGAAAGCATTTCCATACATCTGTGGACCTTTAAAACCCCATTAGAGTGATCCATTTTTATTTTTTCAAGATAGGGCTTGGGGCACCTTCCAAAATTTTTCCTCTTGCCGAAAGAGGCGCTGGTACTAAAACTTACGTTTCTATGTATAAATTTAGAGGATGCTCATGATGGTTATATTTCCCTCTAGAAATATTGTGTACATATGTACATATGTATATTAATCAAACAATTGGTTAAGTAACCTAAGAACATTTCAAATTTAAAGTATCTAAAAAAATATCACAAGCTTCAGTTATCACGGCAGCAGTAGCTTTTTATAAATATCACGCGGTTTCAACGGGATGGTGCTTTTTGCCACACAGCACATGAAACAATGTGCCTATTGCCATTATATTGCGAAACAACGAGATCAAATGGCCGCCGAGATCTTGCGATTTGACATCATTGGACTTCTTTCGCTGGGGCTACGTGAAAAGTATGCTCTATGCCAATAAGTCCGAGGCGATTCCATAGCTTAAGAACGCAATCATACGGCCCGACCCGCGGCCGCTGTGGTGCAGTGGTTAGCAATGCGCGCGGCCACTACGCAGGGTCTGAGTTCAAGCCCGGTTCAACCCAACCTCAAAAAATAAAAACCAAAAAAGGTTTTTTTCCAATAACGGTCGTCCCTCGGCGGGCAATGGCAAACCTCCAAACATGAAAAACAGCTTCTCATAAAAATACAATTGCCGTTCGGAGTCGGCGTAAAACTGTAGGTCCCTCCCCTTTGTGTGACAAAGTCAAGGTGCACGCCACGAATCGGAGGAGAAGCTCGGCCAAACACTAACATATGTGCAAGCGCCAATCTATTATTATTATTATTATACAGGCCGACCTATGCCAAAAAGTCATGGCCAATTTCGTTATGCCCATCTTGTGTTCCTAGAGGTGCAACTTTTAATATGAGAAGCTTAAAATTTGGAGCAATCTTGCAACAGTCATTCCATTATCTCTTTTGACGTCATATGCGACCACTTCATACACGTGCTTTCCAAAACATAACATATAAATTTTTAGCCTAAATATAATATGTACGAAGTTTTATGGCCGTAGGATAACCCGTGCCGACTTTTAGTTGAAGTATTAGTTCTTCTTCTTCTTATTTGGCGCTGTAACCACACACTTGTGCGATTCTGTCGGTGTGAATCTGTTCTGACAACAATGGCGTTCATAGTTTTAAATGAGTGCGATTTTGCGGCAGCGATTTATTCGAACATTCACATTTCATCTTTACGTCGTGCCGAAATCGCAGACCCACGCGTTCGGAGAACTAAAAATATTAATAGACCGGCGTTGTACAATTTAACAATTTAAACAAAAATTAACGTAAGAGAACAAAACATGTTGATTGTGCAAAAGCTAAACATTTTATTGTTTGACGAAAATTATTTTTTGTTTGTTTATAAATTGACATTTTTCACTGCGATAGCATCGCATAGATGTGTGCGTACTTGCATTTTCGAAGTAGTAAACTCCGACGGAATCGCAGAGATGTGCGGATACCTTTAATCATATCTTTGAAATTAAAAAGTCCTTTAAAATAAATCCTGACGTCAGTGAGAAAAAATAAAAACGCCACTTTAAATAAAAAACTAAAAAAATCGACCACCTGGAAGTCTGTCAGGGCTGAATTTGGCTGAAAGTTATACGTTTATCCACCAAAATCGTTTGATAAAGTGACAAACTTTGGTTAAATAGATTTCCATACAAAGTTTGACAGTTCATTGAACAAAATGACAAATTTATCCTTTTTTCAAGTTTATCAACAGTTTATAACTCTTGATGAAGACCCCTAATAGTTGCGATCCCGTACGAGTCCGGACTAGTCAGAAACAGTCAGAATCAGTCAGATTTTACTGGAAATCGATCCCGTACTCGCTTCTCTGACTATTGAGAGGACAGAAAAGAGAGTAAATACGGTTCTCTCTCTGTCAGAAGTTACCAGTTTTAGTCCGAGAATTTTTTACTGGTAAATTCTGGTAAATGTGACAAACGATCAGCTGTAGCGTGTTTGGCAACCAAATTGTAAACAAAAGAAAAGTGCACTCTGCTAATTCATGTTGAAAAGTATTTAATTACTTGTTTAAGTGGATTCTAATGAATTTGAAAGTATTTTTGGTTATTTACATGTGTGAGCTGAGTGTGTTTACATACAAAATAAGCAAAAATTTACAACCAAAATTTGGAGGTTATGTTGAAGTTGACAGAAGTTACCATTTTTTACTAGAAAGCGATCCCGTACTTTTCAATGTTACTCTCTCGCTCTGAGCGAATTTTTATTTTTTGACAGTTTTACTAGTCCGAGTCCGAGGAATACGGGATTGCACCTAATATGTAATAAAAATAAAAATAACTCGGCTTCGTGATCAAGGCGCACTAAATAGGTGAAGTCATAAAACAGCTTTCTCGCTTTATTTTCTGACATTCGCCTGCCTTTTAGTAAAATTTTAAAGGCAATTTTTCAAATAAGGCAGTGTCAAAATCTTTTTTTTCGCTCTAATAACTTCACCTGGTATGATTCCGCCATGTTCGTGATTTGTTTATAAATTTTTTTGACCTGTTTAACCATTCACGATTATTTTTATTGTCATTTTATAAATATGTACATATGTATGTATGTATGTATGCACATAACGACGAGTTCAGTTCGTTGGCTAAACGAGTTATTGCTGCTACCGGTATTCGCAAAAAAAAAAAATTATGGCCTGCTTCAAGGTCGATCGCTGTTTGTTGCTAATCGAGCAAAAGTGGGTGTGAGCGTTACTCGATTGCCGGCATTTGCTGATAAATGCCTCATGTAGCGAGTGATACGTCGTTCATGATTATGTATGTGTGTACATAAGTATGAATATGAAAATTCGCAATTTTTCACACCGTAGTTGAGCCAAGTCAGCAGTGGTTTATTTTTCTAGTTATTTTGATTTCGTTGCTAGTTGTTAGCCTTGGCGCGAACTTTGCCGAGGTAATTAAGAATTAATAACATTGGCATTGAACTTGAACGGATAATTGCGGAAGTTTTATGATTTGCTAACCTTATGTTTTTATTAACGTTTTCTATTAATAAATAAACAAGTAAAAAACATGTTTCGCAGACTTTTTCGAGTATAGATCGTACACCAGGTAGAGTAATTGATCAAATAATGTATTCATAAACTACTCGGACTAAACCATTTTAAGTTCATTGATTTGTTGAGCGATTTTAAGTGTAAATATTGGCTTAAAAAGAAGAAAGTTGGAAGTTTTCTAAAAATTGAAGAGTATACAAAAAATTAGCGACATTTTATAAGAAAATTTCGTTCTACAGTTCACTCCAAGAATTACCAGGTACATCCTGCGAAAAGACGATAGCACCTCAACATTTTGAACAGTTTTGTGTAGATATCTTTCGATTGTTTAATGTTCATTATTTTTATGTAAAAGTATAGCTCTTTATCTAACAAACAACATATAAATACAAATTCCGGACTTCGTACAAAAATTAGAAAAATTCCACAAATTTTTCATCTCAATTCCAAGCATTTTAATTTTAATTTCTCGAATAATTTTAGGTATGCTGTTTTATAGTTTATTAAATTCTAGCACTATTAAGTGACAGTTTGAAGTTGCTGAAAAATCGCATTGAGCTTTGATAATTTTTTTTTTTGACGGTGTCACTCTTTTCCATGTAAAAGTTTACTTTGTATGGAAGACAATTTTTTAAATTTTTGTAAAATGTTTGAAATTTGGACTTATATGGTTTTTGTTAGATACGGAGTTGAATTAAAAAAAAAAAAATGAACTTTAAGAAAAGCAAAAGAAAAGTAGTTAAAACTGGTGTCGCGGGCTGTATCTACTATATAGGGTATCCGAGAGACGAACGACGACGAACTGATAACCTCCTCCTTGTTTGGAAGTTAAAAATAACCACTCATGCTCATACACCCGTAGCTGCGTATGTAACGTATACGCCCCGTGGCACCATACGCAGTCATCTAAACGTGTACTCGCACGCCTTAACTTAAAAGTTATATTATTTAAAAGTTATTAAATATGTTTAATATATATTGGCGCGGGAGATTTTTACACAGTATTCCTTATGCACATATATATTACTTTCTTCATGTATATAACAATTTTAAAATGAATTTCGAGTGTGTCAATAAAAATTGTAAAAATAGAATTTTAGTTTCCCCAATCATAGTCACCTTTTACTCAATGTAATTTTTTCATTTGGTGGCGCAATAATTTTATTACACTAGATTTTAACATTTTGAGGTATCTAAAATTATTAAAATTAAAAAAAAATCGGAAAATTTATTTTTTTTTGTACTTGTTTCAGGGACTTCATTGATTGAAATAAATGCAAGAAGAATGCTGTAGCGTTTTTTTCTGCGAAGAAAAGGAAGTGACATTAAAAAAAAAAAACAAACACAAATGGTCGCTTAAAATGTTAATTTTCACTTTTTACACAGTGCAATTATTAATGAACGCTTTGACTAGAGTTTAACGACTACTTGGCCTCACTTTTAAGCAAACAAAGACTTTTCCCGCCAGTTGTTCGAAATCATAAAATGGCGTTCGATTGAAAATCATGTTGTCGTAATTGACTTTCAAATCTGTAGTCACTAACTAGTTCCATGTCCTATCCGTACTTTACGAACGTTAAATATTATTAAAGACGCGAGGAATCGAGTTCTTCCAAATCTTGTGTGCACAAGGAAAGGAACATCCTCATAGACCGCAGAAGATTATCAACACAACACTGCATACTATAGCCACTGACCTTTCAAAAATACCATGTTCGAGCTCGGCTGGTTAATCGGCAGCCAGTGACAATTCTAAGTGTATATGAATGGACATTGGATATTGAACAACTTATAACATGGGTATTCATGGAAACGCATAAATGTCTCGTAATCGCGTAA